CAGTAGCACGTCATAAATCAGTTAAAGCAGCTTTACAGGCAGGGAACAATGCGTGCAATTAAAAAAATATGCAATGTTTCCCAACTGTGTTTTCTTCTATTTACTGAAAACGTAGCAAACGGTAGCTAGCTGGGACATCTGTGTTGTATATAATGTTCAGTGTTTCCAGAACTCCGCTGCTTCATATATGCATGTGTGAACGATGACGGTATCTTGGAACATTTGGTTTTGCTAATTTTGCCTAAATGTAGATTACATTGATGGAAATCTTCACCAGTACATTTGAAGCAGGCCAGGGATGGTAGTGCGGCAGCTGTGGCATTTGCTAAGGTTGCTTAGGAGTAGAAGTGGACAAGTGAGGGTACTTATGAATTTAGCCATAATCAGCCATGTTTTGTTTGCTCTTTAATCACCATGAAGGGGTCCTTTGGCATCACTGTTATATGTACAATGTATGGCCAGAATTTTGTGGACAACTAACCATCACACCTTGTTGGACATCCTATTCCAGAACCATGTGTGTTAATATGGAGCCGGACCTTTTTTTTTCTGGCTCACTTTAACAAATATGGATTGGCTCTTTGGAAATGGCACACTTACATCATCCCTCACTGTATACAGTTGGCAAATAGTTTTTTTGTGTGAACCTGTTTCTTCCCTAGAGATCCTGCCAGTAATAGCACTTACTATTGAAGGCTGCCTTGGGAGATCATGCAATTGGCTGTCAGACTACCTATCTGGTAGACTTAGGAGGCAGCCAAAAGGCCAACTGAAGGAGCCCACATGTAAGGCCAACAACCTTTGTATTGGAAGAGCATATTGAACGAGGTTTTATAAGGTGTTATGCTTCATCTGGATCAATTCGATGTTCTAAGGATGTTACATACCATGTTTTTAGGCTAATATAGACTTGATATCTTTCCGCCTTTGTAACTATGATTGTTGGAATAATTAAATGTTTGTAGACAAGAAATATGTAGTCCTTTTATATGGGCCAGTTCACACTACAAGCAGTGCATTCCAGAGCGGTCAGGCTCTGGAACGCACTGAATCGCATTCTGGGGCGGGAGGGGGTGTGACGGTGCATTGAAGTCAAAGTCACCGCAGCCACGCCCCCCCCCCCCCCGCGCGCTTTGGTCTGTTAAAGTGACTCTAAACTCAGGAGTTAAATCTTAAACATGCAAAGGTGTATGCAAGTGTTGCAAGTGTAGCATCTCTGTCAGCTGCATGTGCATTAAAGTTATTATTGATCTTATGGGAACTGCAGTGGGGCTCTATGTTTGTTTGAATACCATGAGGGAGGTGATGGAGCCTGGAATATTGCCAGAGTGAGGCTCAGGATCTGCACTGGTACTGGGAATCTGTAAGTTAAAGTGACACTAAACTCTTAAATATTACATTCAATTACCCTAACTATTAACAAAAATGTATCTTATCTGTGTATCACTCGGCTGTAGGTACTTAAATAATCTCTGAATTGATTATATGACATTTTTGGTTTTAGATACACTTTGTCTGTTTTTTAATTTATAGAAAGTTGTATTGGCCTACAATCCATTTCCATGCGTGGAAACTCAACTCAACTCCAGGTCTATTTTTGTTTGCATACCAGAAAAGCGATCGCTTGGAAGCTTAAGATTGGCAATTAGCAAATAACTGCAGGTGGTCGGCTCAGGCCATGTACTCCCTCCTCACCATTGTAAAGACAGGCTTGTAGTTTTAATCTTCTTAGCAGCACTCCACACATGAAGAGAAGAGGTCCTAACAAGAAACGCAAGAGGCCAAACCTACAAGCACTGGAAATTTGCTCTCTGTCATGAATGGATTTGACATCTGGCGGTTTCTGGGGTGCTGGAGAGGGAATTAAAAAAGATCTCTCACTAGTCAAGGTGAAAGGAAGGTTATACACCCCAGTGGTTTTCTATAGGCACAAAGCAAGCCCAGCCGTATTGACAGAGTACTCTATTTGACTGAAACATCCTTAAAATGTTGGTGGGAAGAGCTGATGAAAGGAGCTCATTCTGATCTACATGAAAGGTTGCAGCAGGCTCTCACATTCCCTCTTGTGTTTTCAGGAGCCATGTAATAGAATCACATCGTAAGAAAGAAGACATACCGCTTAATACTTAACCGCAACATTGTCGTACCAACTGGTAAAACATGCCCGGGGACAAATAGCTACATAAATTGCGGGCAAATTATCTGCTTACCCAGACCATTTCCGCAAGACAAAAGAGAGGAATTCCACTCTTTTATCAAATGCAAAAAACATGCCGTAATGGAAGATGGGTCCTATCTGCAGAACTTTAAAGCCCAAATGAAGCGTCACCACTTTCTAATCTTTTTATAGTCCTAAACCCTCAATGATTTTTGCTTGGAAATAGCTTTAATATTTATTTAATTTCAGTTCTCTATGCTGGCAGAGCTGAGTAACAGCCACACCCTTCAAAAAAAGTGTCCTAAAGGTGCCCATACTGGTCTAATTTTGTCCGGTTTTTAATCTACCGGCCGAAATTTGCACAGTGTGTGGGGCTGTCGGCTCCCTTTCAGCCGGCATTCCTAGATCAGCTGGAAAATTTTAGATCGATCAGAGCGGGCAGCCAATGAGCCGCTTGGGTATTCTGACAGGCGCCATCTGTTAGAATACAATGTAAACAGCGGGATTGCTCGATCGACATGTTTGTGTTGATGGAGGAATCGGGGTCAATTTTTTTCGTTCAGCCTGTGGGTTCAATGCACAAAAATGATAGGTGGTATGGCCAGCTTTAAAGGAGAACTATGAGGTTAGAGCTGACCTGTGACAAAGAAACTGTCACAGGTCAGCTCTATTGATCGGGAAGTGAGGGAGCACATACCGTTGCTCGCTCACTTTCTGATTATCTCCCTGCAGAGAGCCGTGACTGTCAGTCACCACTCCCCTCATTGATTCTCCCTCCGATCCTCCAGAGCTGACTAGTGAAATGGTGGGGCAGGGGGCAGGCAGAGCCAGCTGTCACTCACACGCAGCTGGGTGGATCCAGACAGTATTGTCAGGATCCGTCCCGGCTGTGGCGCTCTCAGTATATAGCGGACAATATCCTGCTATATACTGAGCTTTGGGTCACGGGAGGATGTTAGTATATGTCCTCCCGCGACCCTAAAGAGAACAATGGGATAAAAAGGTTACCCCGTAGTTCTCTTTTAAGCTGGCCATACACCTTACAATTTTCGATCAGTAATTTTCGTTGCTGCCAAGAGCCCTCTTTCGATTTCCGCTGGAATACCCCATCATGCGCACAGACCAATGTTGATTTAGATCATTGCAATACTAACTCAACGAATTTCGTCAATCGATAGAACAGGCTTTTGTTTGCGCATATGCAGTGCACTTGTGGCGAAAAAAAGTTTTCCTGCCCGATCGAGGAAATTCGGCCAGTTGTACAATAATTGTGATCGTTCCCATCAACTGCACGATTATCGTACGCAAATCTGATTGCAATAGTTTTTCGAATGATAATCGCAACGTGCATGGGCACTTTTACATAGATTTTTAAGACTTAGCAGGGGAAAAGAGGTGGTGTGTCAGACCAGGTCTGTTACTGAGTGCTGATTGCTGAGAACACTGGCTCCAACTATGGTTTGCACAAATATATTTAGACACCCCACACAATGACTGCTGTCATAGATAAGTGGAGGATATTTGTCCAATGTCTATCTGACTGTATATCTATTTTGGTGACTATACTTGGGCTTGAAAGCAGTAAACTCTCTTTAGGTTTGCAACAGAGACAGGTATTAGGGAGGTACGGCAGGGGCAGTTTAAGCTGAAGAAACGTCCCTATGAGCTTTGGATAGCATGTCCACCAGTGCTTGGGTTATAGTTGGGTGACCTGATGCCAGCTTGCTAATTCATGTGACAAATAGCAGTTCTGCTCCGCAGTTTGGTGCCAGTGTTCACTCTCCATGCATTCCGTATTAGGTAACATGATCCGAAATAAAGCACCACAGAATCTACTACCTACAGCTCATAGGTATCTGTCTAGATAAGAATGCAGGAGGTGCTATAGCTGAAAGTTTTTTAAGGTAAATACATGCCCCCGGGCTGTTATACTTATCCTATGTTAACATACTTGGTGAGACAATGACCTGGAACACGCATTTGCATGTCAGGTGTCTGGACAGCTAATATGAACATGATAGTTTTAGGTCAGGGATTCACAAAGTGGTGAAGCAGTGGAAAAAAACAAAACCAAAAGCAGCGCAATGGCATCTCCCTTATTCCTATCTTGACAGGTTCTTTTGAGATGAGTGTGTTCCCCATATGCCAATTGAAAGCATCCTTCAGCCCATTCAAACAAACAGAGCCACACTCCAGTTCTCAGAAAATCAATAAATGTATTGCACATGCTGTTGAGAGAGACACTCCACTGACATCCAATAACCTCCAGAGGTGTATGCAAGTGTAGCGTCTCTGTCAGCTTCATGTCCAATAAAATTATCATTGATCTTTTGGGAACTGCAGTGTTTGGTTGAATACCAGAAATGAGGGAGGTGATGGAGCCTGGAATATTGCTGGAGTGAGGCTCAGGACTTGCACTGGTACTGAGAATCTGTAAGTTAAAGTGACACTAAACTCAGGAGTTAAATCTTAAAAATCCATTCAAGTCCCCTAACTATTAACAGAAATGTATCTTATTTGTGTATCACTCGGCTGTAGATCCTCCAATCATCTCCGAATTGGTGCTGACACGGTCCTTCCATCTGGAGGGTGGCTACTTTTATTCCCCATGGTCCCTGTGTGTTGTAAAGTAGTCCCCGCTCCAGCCTCGCTCCCGTGATGAGCTACAATCTCAATACAAATGAGCAAACTAAACCTGAGATTGTAGTCCATCACTGGAGTGAATTTGGAGTAGTTTGCTTGCGTTGCTGCAGGTAGCCCAAGTCTTGGCTGAATTGTTTTAAGAATCTGTACAAATTAGTTCCATAAAATATTGAAATATTTGTCTATTATTTTTATGCAGGCTACAGAGACGTTGTTCCGTATGGGAGTTACCAGAGGCTATCTAAAGCCCATCAGACATGGAGAGGTAAGCCTTCATATGATGATGTATTCATATGTAATTTGTATATTCATATCCATGGTTGGATTTAAACTCAAACTCTTTTTCCATTGAATTTCACAACGGAGTACTTCTGTGTTATGTAGTATAGATGTGAATCTTTTCAACCAGCTTCACTGTTTAGACATCACCTTCTGATGTCCGTACATTTAAAGTGAACATGGTCCTATTTGACTTACTGGAGGCTCTTAGCAAAACAGTGGTCCCTCTTTTTGCCGTAGAGTGTTGTAGAAATGCACAATATAACTAACTATTAAAAGTGTTTATGTTGCTATAATCTTTATTACCATCTGCAGAAGTGGTTCTTAACATTATTACAATTGCAAACCCCCAATGTATTGCCCAATATGTCCCCCATACCCTCTTTACCAGACTGTTAAAATCATCATTATCACTAGCCCTGTTAGATACCGGTATGTCAATAAATATGTCAATAGCTTGGTTTACTTCATATTTAGATAGCAATATGTCATTACATGGCGCCCGGCTTCCTGATTGGCCAGACAGCCGGCTCCATGCTCCCTCGTCACCTAGTGACAAGGGAGCATGGAGATGGCTTCCCTGCTAATTGGGAAGCTGGGTGGTGAGTCTTTGCACGCTGCTTCCCAGCTCATCAGGCTTTCTTAATGGGACTTCCGGTATCGATATTCGGTATCGGCAAGTACCGAAGAAAAAAATATCGGTACGCGATACCGAAAAACCAGTATCTGCATCCCTAGTTTAACCCTTACCCCACTCTGTCCAAAAATAATGATAAAAAAAGTTTTGGTTAGAGATGCACTTTAATTATCAAGTATCTGTCACACCTGGGGTGTTGGACTGTTGGCCATCCTTCTGCAGCCAGACGCCCTTGTGCTGCTTTTGCAGCCCATATGCTATGGCTAAATCCTCCTGATGACTGTGTTGTAAAATTTTCTTGGTGATTGTTATTATTCTAAATTCACTTTTTATGTCTATAAAACAAAGGTACCTGTATTTTATATATCATTTATATCATATTTGATACTTAGGCTTTCACTCAAGTCAGGTTCTCCGTACGTGACATATTGTTATTTCTTCTTTGATTTGCTGGTAAGAAAACACACACAGCTGACTGAGTCCCCCTCCCTCTCCAGCTCATGCTGCAACTAATGAGCTTTCATTTAGAGAAAGACAGTCAAAAAGTGAGTGGTTAGTGCTGGACTTTCTTATTACTGCATTTTAATAATAATATAAAGTCAGTGCAGTGTTTATGTTATGGTATAGTATGGGGTATGGCATTAGTTAGACCTATTTTTAATAGTAACTCTCAAGCAACCAGAAACTACATTGATCCGGAATCTACCAATCCCTGTGGATGCCGGATAACGGGGCATTTACTGTATGCATTTTTTCTTCGATACTGAACATAAGAAAATTAAATATAAAAAATAGGATATGTCCCCTGTAGTGATAACATTGTTTACCTGCACACGGTACAACGTCATGACTTCGCAATAAGGTGGTGCTCTCAATGACAACATGGATGGTGCCATGTAGGATGCCAATAAAGATCAGGTAGTCACCACCACACACATTATATAATCGATTTCATTCTCAATTTATTGAATCATCGTCACGGGTTGCCATACAGCCAACATTTCAGGGTTCCTTCCTCAGGGCAACATGAGAAAGGGGCCCTGTGCGGCCCCGGAATGTTGGCTGTATAGCAATCTGAGGCGATGATTCAACAGATTGAGAATGGGATCGATGATATACTGTGTGTGCTGGTGACTACCTGATCTTCAATTATATGTTCCCTTTCATCCTACAGGCTCTGTAGTAAACAAGGCAATAATATAAAGAAATAAGCAGCTCCCCCAACCCCCCCCACCCAGCCACTGATAGAATCTTATCTTGCTGTTTACACATGGATTACACTCTGATGGTTGAGCTTCTGACATCGGAGTACATAAGGACAGTGCCAGGAATCAATTATATCAGCCAGCTTGGCAGAGCCTCGGGTACAGTCTTCTTTTTAACCACAATGGGCAGATTATGTGAAGTATCATGGAGATGATACTGTATGAGGGAAGCTGTAGGGTTCACATGAAAGAGACAGTGTTTAGTGTTACAAGAACAATGCTACCTGGGATCAGCTTTCTGTGGGAGAGCTCATTACGGTACCAATGGGGGAAGTGATATAGCCTCTCATACAAATGTGGAATTTGCTGGAATTTTCAAGAGTACCTGTTGCTTATAAGAGGCTTGAATCCCTAGCACACCGTCCAGATTACATCAAATGTATTCATTTAATACCTGTGTAGAGACCGAGCGTGATATATTCATAGGATCTGAAGAAACTTTGCCAGTTTTGGTTTTGTGCGTGTGTGTGTGCATATGTGTGATTTTTGATGAAAAGAAAGCCATGTAGACATATAGATATGTCTCCAGCAGTCCTTACAGCATTCACGACCTTGGATTAACAGGAGGTGCTGGCCGTGATGATCACGGCCGTGCACGTCAGACTTGCAAAGGAGGAAGATCACCAGCACTGACAGGGTTTTCTAAAATCAAATTCTTGTGTTCATTTATTGTGAAACAGCGTCACATACAGTATATCAATATAGCCAACGTTTCGGGGGTCACACAGGGTCCCTTAATCATGGCGACATAGTGACGAGCCACAACATGTTTATATATTCAACATGTCACCTATGTGAGCTTGTTGGAAATCCAATTCCAAAACCACGGGCATAAACAGTCCATCCCATTTGATTTTTATAACAGACTTCAGTCTTCTGGGATTACACCCGTACCCAAAGTTGTTCAGTAGAGTTGAGGTCACGGCTTCATAAAGGCCAGTCAAGTTCCTCCTCATCAAACTCATCAAGCCTGGTCTTTATGGAGCTGGTTTTGTACATAGAAGCACTGACATGCAGGAACAGAAAAGGGCGTTTTTTCAAACTGTTGCTGCAACCTTGGAAATGCACTATTGTCTAAAATCCTTAACAGTACCCTTGTTTTGGAGGGACTGTAGTCATACTTTTTTGGCTATATAGTGTAAGGATGGGGGGAGCAAAGAGATGACTGAAAGTAGGATTTAACTCTTAAAGAAGAACTATGGGGTTAAGTCTTTTCCCCATAGTTCTCCTTAGGGTAACGGGAGGACACAAACTAGCGTCCTCCCGTTACCCTAGGCTCAGTATACCGCGAGCTGTAGCTGAGCTGTATTACTGACAGGATCGAGAGGTGAGCGAACGCCGGTATGTGTTCGCTCACCTCCCCATCTACTGAGCCGACCTGTGACAGTCTCATTGTCACAGGTCGGCTAGAACTGAGGTGAGTGAAAAGCACTTACCTCATAGTTCTCCTTTTAAACGTTTTCAATAATGAATCCAGATCAGACATCACATTGCCCAGCAAAGTATTTTTGCCCAGTCATCATGTTTCTGAACAGCTCCAACTCTCTCAGCTCAGCTCCCCTGAACTTCCTATCCAGTACAATATCACAAAGCACAGCACAGTCTCCAGCAACTGTCCATCTACTAGCTTGGAGAACGGAGGATGAGGGGGAGCAGAAGGGGTGGCTTGCCTTGCTGTACCTGTGTGTTTGTGAAGACATAAACACGTTACTTACACATACACAAGGGTTGCTCTGTAGGACCCTGCGAGGAAAAGGAAACACCCTAAAACAAGATATCAGGTCCAGTGTTCAGGGGACCAGCTGATTCTGCAGGAAGCTACAACTTTTTAACATTAAGGAGCAGCATCCGCTGTAAGTGATTTAATCAGGATTTGAAATCAGGGTGTTGATACTACTACATTACACTCACTCACAGGCTGTGGCAGGTTCAGGACCAACTTCCATTGCTTATCTATGGTGCAGGATCTGCCTCTGCTGTATGGCAGGAGTGTCTGAAAAACAAGACTGGCTGAACAGCATTATAGATCATTTGGCAGCAAAAAATGTCTCTGTACAGAATATGCATTTCAGTTGTGTACGTAACTGTATACCTGAGGTTGAGCATGTACAGTAGTGGGCAGGATGGCAGCAGGGGTACTTGATTACAGGTGGTCTTGCACTCGCTTCTTCAGTCCAATGGAGCAGCAAAAGTGGGGGTACGCATAAGCAGCTGTAGGGATCGGGATTAAAGTGAACCTGTTGCTTTGCTCTGTATGGTGAAGAACAGTGAAGTTTTTAAAAAGTGACACACTGACGGGTTATTATTGCTATCAGTGTTCTTCTCTCTTGGTGACAGGAGCAACAATGAGAACATCTCTTTAATAGTGGGGGTAGGGTTAAGAGGTTAGGACCTAATTATGCACTGACCACCCACTTGTGAACCCTTACCATTGTAATTAATGCCTTAAGAGTCCTACTGTGACCCAAACATATGCAAAAATTATGTGGGCTCTGTGATTTCTAATAATATGTTTTTGGGGATCTTTCAGTGTATCTTTTTTTTAAAGTTTTGGATAACTATAGGTTTGCATTGCTTGCCTGTGTCCCCCCTGGGGACATTTACTCTTGCTATTTCTCTTGGTGGTCATTGTCATCAAAATTCCGAGTTATTGCCAAAACCAAATAGAGGGAAACACTTGACAACTAGTGACAACTAAGAGGGCATCTATCTCACTTTGTGGGAAGGAGAAATCTCTCAAATGGGACACAGATGGCAACAAAACTATTTGCTAACTCTAAAATGTAGGAAAATGTTTTGGCTTTAGATATTCTTCAAGGAGACTTGAACATTTGGAGGCTGTCATGGCTGATCTCCTGCTAAAAATGCTATCTGTCCAATGAGTTCAATATTTTGAGTCATTGATCCAAAACACTTATGGAAGGAAGGCATTGTGAAGTGAGAACTCCCAATCTTTTTTTTAGAGTCAGAAGCTCAGAAAGTACTGAAACCAACTTTCGAATAGTACGGCCAAGCATTTTGAGAGGGTGAGGTCAGCGACGGATGCCTCAATTTTTTCTTTAGCCCAGGTTTCATTTAACCCAA